AATATTTAAAAAGTTAGGAATTAAAAAAAATTAAAACGAAGCCTCCGGAGCAACGCCCGGGTCTGAGAGCTAGTTATTCTCTCTATTCATAAAACATTCGTGCTATTAAGCTTGCCGGATTATAATCATGATTTCCAGAAATCCATCGTTGAGCCCTATTATTCGAGGTTTTGCTTTGTTCTTCAATGAATAAATTGTTATTACCAGGTTGAAAGCTCGATATTTCTTCAATTAATTAATAAATTATCGCCATTTACTCCATCGAGCTGTATATTGAAAATATGATCGAACGAATCAGAAAATCCTTCATCGAATTGTTGAGAACTAGAGACTTGATTCGCAAAGAGTTGTTCTGCATTACTATTAGATTCAGATACTAAAGAGTGTGCCTCCTGATTAATGTCGCTTGTATAAATAGCTTTATTTTGGTTTGTAATGTCTTTGAACGCCTTCATTATTAAAAGATTTCGTTAAAAAATTTTTTTAAAAATAAATTACCGGTATAATATTTTTATGACGTAATTATGACAGTACTATTTACATGTAATTTAAAGTTATGCTATATTAAAAGTTATATATTTATCAGTACTATTTTTTTTTTTTTAATCTTCAAAGGTCAGTACTATTTACATGTAATTCATATCAAAAGTTATTAATTAAAATTACGATTTTATTTAAAGTTACGTAACTTATTATTAATGATTGGTTGTAACTCAAAAATTCATTGGGACGATTCTACGGCATCACTAGTCACAAGCCTAGTCTTTCTAATAATTGTCCAAAGCGTAGCGGAGGATTTAATGGTAGAGTCATAGACCAGATTCTGTGTGGTACCTATCGCTATTTTTAGATTAGATGATTTAACGGTAATGGTATACGCATGATTGACATCATATTATATATACGTACGTACGTACCAATTTTTTTCTCACACTCAATGTTTTTTTTTCTTCTTTTCCGCCCGTTGCTTTATTCGTCGTACCATTCACTTCTACATAGGTTCGGAGAAGTTAGGTTGTTACGGTGATCAGCCACCCTATGTAGTCGCACTTTAAACTTCTCATTCGACGTCGTTATATTATTGCGGAGATGGATAAGAAAATTGTATCCTTTACGTGATTTTTTTCTTGTTGGTCTTGATCAAAGACCAACGACCCTCGAAAAACCCGTAGTGCAATTCCAGCAATTGGTGTTGCACCTATTGCGCGTATAGGAGGGAGGGGCAATAGTATCTAGGTTTTCTTGTATACCCTGAGGGTCATTTATTTTAGCGGGATTGACTCGCAACTTTATCGATGACTTGGTACATCATCGATATCGTATTTTATCATTTCGAGATCTAAATGAAATTAAAAAAATAATCGAATACACTATTAAAATCAACGTTTTCTTAATCCCTTTCTCTGAAGATTTATTTTTTTTTTCAAATCCCTGATTTTAAACTCCTTTGGTCACATGATGCAAACCTCCTCATGGTGTGACCTGGACATCAAGCGATTTTCGTTTGATGATTGATACGTACTGTACAAATTTACTACGTAACTTATGTAATCAAAAAATTAACGTTACGTTAATTGCATACATTGATCTACATAAAATTGGCGCAAAGGTTAGCTTAACTCTGATCAGATCTACCTTCTGTAGAACTGAATTACAGTTAATTTATTATGCTTAAGATAACAACAAAAAAAAAAAAATTATTCTAACTTCCATTTCTTTTCGGGGAATGTGCTCGTATTTTAGGTTCATTTGACCATCTATATCGGTGTCTTCCGGGTCTTTTATCAAATTTAGCGTTAGCGTCTGGAATATATCAAGTCAAATTTGGCGCATTTGATTACGTACGTACAAGTGAGTTTGGTGCATCATATTAAATTACTGAAGTATAACGATAATAAAATTTTTTGCTTTTACGTATAATTCTAAATTACGATATATTAATATTTTTATAAAATATTTATTTTAGCATTTAATTTGACGATAAATTCCGGTTTATCTGAACAGATAATGAAATCGCTCCAAGAAAAAAGATTCCCTGAAAAATTTTTGTGTATACTATGCCAATTATAACTTAATAGTAACTTTCATAATAAATTTTTCTTTATTCAATTGTTTTATTGGATGTAGGTCACGTTCACAAAGTTTTTTTGGACATTAATCTATTAAGACGAACACAATAATGCTACGCATTAGTCATTGACATAGTTATCATTTGATTATTTAGTTATTCACTTTTGCGAATTTATACAAATGGAAAACGACAATTTTAAAGCAGCGGCAATTCTTCGACAAAGGTCATTACTTTTTTGGTTAGACTTGAGCTAAAAAAAACCGAAGACGACAGCAAAGCTTTATGAAAAGTAGGCAAACTGTCGTTTGAAAAGGATAATAAGGAGTTAACCTTTGTTTGACAGAGCTAATTATTGCAGTACAGTGAGTGATTCAAGGAAATTTTCAAGTAACAGACGCTAAGTTTCGGCTTGACAACTGGGAATTACCAGTTGGAATTTATGATCACGTAGTCATTCGTGGAACAGACGTAAGAGTATTAGAAATCGAATACTCGAAAGAATATTTTAATTTGAGGGTAAACTTTATTCTCTATTCATCACCAGAACTTTCACTATCTTCTTCCTCTTGCTGTTGCTCTTGTTGTTGCACATCAATCCCCTTCTCTGCCATTCTCTTCCTTTTTCTTCAAGTTTTTGTAACAGATTTTTTTCTGTATTGAATGTACCATTAGTAGGAGTTCCACAAGCTCGGAATTTTAGAAAATTCTGTAATGCGTTAATTATATTATAACTTTTATTATTATAATAATAAAATAATTTCAATCAGATCAGAAGAATATTATCATCAATACTAATGAAAAAAAATATATTATGTAGTACATACCTTGTAACCACTGGATTCCTATATTCTTGTCTACATATTATACAATTCTTCATTGCTTCATCATTACTTTCGATAAGAAATTCACTATAATCTTGTCGAATTCTTCCTTGCATGTCTTCCCATCTCTTTCTAATCGCCATCCAGATTTATAGTCACCTCTATCATGCAAGAATTTACATGAATCACCATAATCACAATAGCCACAATAGCCAGTTACTAAAAATTGAAATTAAAATTAAAAAAATAATAATAAGAAAAAATTTTTTTCAAACATTTACCTTTATAATCTTTACATATATCTGGTTGATAATCAAATCGTGAAGTGACACGAATATTTGTAGGTGCACGAATTGGACCGGCCCTATAATAAAAATTAATTATTTAAATTGGATAAGAAAACTCTTATTTAAATCGAATAGTAAAAATTAATTATTCAAATTGGATAAAGACGAGATATTTTATATGAAATTAGATAAAGACGACATGTTTTATATCAAATATGATACATACTTTATTTTTGAACTTGCAGCATTTCCTGCAGCGGTATCACGTTTTTTTATATTTGTTTTATAAGCATTTTGACCTTTATAAAGATCGAACAAACTTCCTCGGCAGCTAGTTTCTTTTCTAACAATGCTTGCGCATCACGATCAGTTTGCGTATCCCATTCAGTCTTTCGTGTAGCGATATCCTGAGATATGGCAGACTTACTTGCGGAAAAGGTGACACTAATATCATCCGTGTGTTTCCTTTTTTTGTACCTTGTACAAAAGGATGTGAAGGATCTAATTTACGTTCTTTTGTTACTACTGCTGAACCTTCAGCAATTTCTGAGGATGCATCAGGCGACGGTGATTTCTTGCGTTTACGTACGTTTATACCAAGTTTACTTTTCTTGAAGAAAGTAACATTTGTTGTATCTTCGGTCAAAGGAGTAATTGAATCATCAGACATA